TGCACTCCTGTGCATTGAGTGCACTCCTGCGCATTGAGTGCGCTCCTGTGCATTGAGTGCACTCCTGCGCACTCCTGTGCATTGAGTGCACTCCTGCGCATTGAGTGCACAAGAGGACCTTGTGCGCATTGATTCAGTCTCCTCGACTACTCTATCCCCCTGAAGCGACCTTGTAACCAAGGTAAGACTCTCTAAGATAGTTAAGCCAGGTAAGATGGCGTAACGTGGCGTGGCACTAGTCGCCCATCCTGTTAACCCTGGTACTTTTTTTTTTTAAACTACTCCACCGATCCCAACCTCTTGTTTTCACCTTGAGCTAAACACTCACATCATCCAAGAGGCTTGTTCCTTGAAGCACATTCCACACGAAATTGTATGGCCAACATTTTCTAGGCGCTTCAATCGAGCGCTGCTCTTCCTGTGATATCCCTCCCTGCTCCCACCACACCTATTCTCTCCTTTACGTACCATCCTTCTTGCTGCCGCCACCCACTCTATGTGATTCCCCTCTACCGGGTCTGCTGACACCCCCCGCCCCCCCCGTGTCCCCCCACCCCGCACCCCCTTTTCTACCATCTGCCTTGGTCCCGTGGAAGCCCTTGGTCCAGGCCCGGCGGCCTCACTTGCCCTCCGCTCCAAAGCCTTGAGCTCTGTGCTTCTCAACTTTCCGCCCTCTTGCCTCACTCTCCTCTCTCCCCTTCCCCCCCTCTTCCCCTCTTTCCCCCTTACCCCCTTCTCCACCTGCCCTCTGTCCATCAGTTAGCAAGTCCACTGCTCTCTCTCCACTTCCCCCCCTTTCCCCTTCGGCCCTCTCTTCCCTTTTGTCCAATGTCCCCCTCTTTCCCCTTCGGCCCTCTCTTCCCTTTTGTCCAATGTCCCCATCTTTCCCCTTTGGCCCTCTCTTCCCTTTTGTCCAATGTCCCCCTCTTTCCCCTTTGGCCCTCTCTTCCCTTTTGTCCAATGTCCCCCAATTTCCCCTTTGGCCCTCTCGTCCCTTTTGTCCAATGTCCCCCTCTTTCCCCTTTGGCCCTCTCGTCCCTTCTGTCCAATGTCCCCCTCTTTCCTCTTTCTTTCTCCATAATCCCCCTCTGCCCTCTGTCCCTCTGGCTTTCCCCCTTTTCCCCTCCTCCCCCGTTCCCCCTTTCCACCTGCCCTCTATCCACCAGTGAGCAAGGCCGCTACTCGAGTGCCATTCTTCCCAGCACCCCCCGGCCTCACATGCCCTCTGCTGCTCGACATCTTTGACCTCTCACCTCAAGAGCTGCTGGAGAGCAACCAGGTGAGGCGCGCTGATGAGGTCAGGTGCATTGATACACCCCCCGCACCGCACGTACACCTGGGCATGCGAGTCGAGTTTTTCACCCAACTCGAGTTTCTACCCAACTTCAGAAACTTTAGTTACGTGTTTGGTATTTTCCCAATAAAACTTGACCGAGTTGAGTTGATGTTTTAGTCGTTTGATCTAAAAAAACATTGAAAACTATTTAGCCAATCTGGCTGAGTTTTATGAACTCGACATTGCTCGCTGGGTTTCCTGCCATCGCATGTGCTGGCAGCGACAGTATTGCTCCTTTAATAATCACCAGATAAGTCAGTCGGTGTAATATTGCGCTGTCCTCTTTTATGGATGCCTTGACAGGGCATGGCATGTGACAAGCCCATACCTCGTGGGTTGATAGTGAACGTGTCGGCATCTGCCAACAAGAGCTGCACCAGCATGTATACCAGCAACCAGGTGAGGCATGTATACCACCAACCAGGTGAGGCATGTATACCACCAACCAGGTGAGGCATGTATACCACCAACCAGGTGAGGCATGTATACCACCAACCAGGTGAGGCATGTATACTAGCAACCAGGTGAGGCATGTATACCGCCAACCAGGTAAGGCATGTATACCGCCAACCAGGTGAGGCATGTATACCGCCAACCAGGTGAGGCATGTATACCACCAACCAGGTGAGGCATGTATACCGCCAACCAGGTAAGGCATGTATACCGCCAACCAGGTGAGGCATGTATACCACCAACCAGGTGAGGCATGTATACCACCAACCAGGTGAGGCATGTATACCGCCAACCAGGTGAGGCATGTATACCACCAACCAGGTGAGGCATGTATACCACCAACCAGGTGAGGCATGTATACCACCAACCAGGTGAGGCATGTATACCACCAACCAGGTGAGGCATGTATACTAGCAACCAGGTGAGGCATGTATACCACCAACCAGGTGAGGCATGTATACCACCAACCAGGTGAGGCATGTATACCACCAACCAGGTGAGGCATGTATACCACCAACCAGGTGGGGCATGTATACCACCAACCAGGTGAGGCATGTATACCACCAACCAGGTGAGGCATGTATACCACCAACCAGGTGAGGCATGTATACCACCAACCAGGTGAGGCATGTATACCACCAACCAGGTGAGGCATGTATACCACCAACCAGGTGAGGCATGTATACCACCAACCAGGTGAGGCATGTATACTAGCAACCAGGTGAGGCATGTATACCGCCAACCAGGTGAGGCATGTATACCACCAACCAGGTGAGGCATGTATACCGCCAACCAGGTGAGGCATGTATACCGCCAACCAGGTGAGGCATGTATACCACCAACCAGGTGAGGCATGTATACCGCCAACCAGGTAAGGCATGTATACCGCCAACCAGGTGAGGCATGTATACCGCCAACCAGGTGAGGCATGTATACCACCAACCAGGTGAGGCATGTATACCACCAACCAGGTGAGGCATGTATACCACCAACCAGGTGAGGCATGTATACCACCAACCAGGTGAGGCATTTATACCGCCAACCAGGTGAGGCATGTATACCGCCAACCAGGTGAGGCATGTATACCGCCAACCAGGTGAGGCATGTATACCGCCAACCAGGCGAGGCATGTATACCGCCAACCAGGTGAGGCATGTATACCGCTAACCAGGTGAGGCATGTATACCACCAACCAGGTGAGGCATGTATACCACCAACCAGGTGAGGCATGTATACCACCAACCAGGTGAGGCATGTATACCGCCAACCAGGTGAGGCATGTATACCGCCAACCAGGTGAGGCATGTATACCACCAACCAGGTTAGGCATGTATACCGCCAACCAGGTGAGGCATGTATACCACCAACCAGGTGAGGCATGTATACCACCAACCAGGTGAGGCATGTATACCACCAACCAGGTGAGGCATGTATATCGCCAACCAGGTGAGGCATGTATACCACCAAGCAGGTGAGGCATGTATACCGCCAACCAGGTGAGGCATGTATACCACCAACCAGGTGGGAGGGCATGCAGCTGTGCTTGCCGTAAGTTAAGGAGCTAACATTTCAACAGCTTTGTGCAACTGCTTTGTTCTAACCAGACTATTACCAGTACTACTGTAGAATGCCGGCTATAGGACCTGCCGGTCAAATGGTCCCCCGGGGGGCTCTTGAATGGGTAGTGGGACTCTTATTGTGGCAGGTTATGTGAGGCCCCCCCTTCCGCCCCTAATCATTATAAGTCCCCCTATTTCTGTACACAGTAGATGTCATGGCTATTGAAAATCAGCTTTTACTGGCACAAATTCTAATTCTGATACACCTTTTGTGTTAGGCTCGAATTCTGACACTATACCGTTTTTGGGGTATATGTTATGAAGCAAATGCATGGCCCAAGCCATCTCCAGCCTCATACTCCTGTCCACCTACTTGCCCAGCTGCCTGCAGAGCTTCTTGTGATCAAGACACTCCCCTCCAGGCAGGTAGAGCACGAGCAGCTTGCTGAGGTACGCCAGATGGTGCAGCCCGGTGTCGTCCACCCCCGTGCCCTGCAAATAAAGCCACTCCAGGCCGCCCAGCCGCCCCACATGCACCATACCCATGCCAGTCACACCATGGCACCCAAGCAGCGACAGGGTGTTGAGCGCGGAAAGAGCAGCGAGGTGCATTAGCCCGGCATCGGACACCTGGGTGCGGCTCAGATAGAGGCGTGCAAGGCTCTTCGCTTCCCCAATGCCGATAAGTGCTTCGTCTGCAACGGTTGTGTCGCGCAAGCTGAGGTCCTCTAAGCGAGGCAGCTTGTAGAGGAGACGCACGCCCTCTGCAGTGAAGCCTGCTGACCCGTCCAAGTCGACGTGTTGGAGGTGAGAGATGGTGGAGAGCAGGCGCAGCGCGGTGGTGGATAGAATAGGCACGTTCTGCAGCTCCACATGGGTGCATTTCAATGCGTTCCCACACCACACTGACAGAAGGGTCTGACGTAAGGAGTGATGCAAATGATACAACAAGACGGACGAAGGCGTTCTTCAAACGTCTCTCACAAACGCGTACACTGATGAAGCGTTCCTTGAAAGGATCATAGCAAAAAAAAAATGGCGTGATAGTTTGAAAGAAGCTACAGCACACAGCCACACTAACCTCCCATGACCGCTGGCTGGCACGGTCAGTCCGTGTGAGAGCTTCTTGCAGCCCTGCCAGCCGCCCCTTGTGCTCCGCTAACTCGCCCCTCACTGCCGCCACCTCCCTCCTTGCCTCTTCCACCTGCTCTGCTAGCGTTCTCAAAAACCCTTCCAATCCCTGCCTCGGCGCTCCCTGCTCTGAAGGCATCCCACGAGCTTCAATCACTTCGTCCATTCCTGGTCTGCCAATCTCACTGTCCAAGGCAACGTGAGAGCAATGAGAGAACACCGCATCACATAGGGACGTGTTGAGATACGGCATCAACCACCCAAGAATGCAGCGAACACAAACAGCGAGAGTGGGGAAACAGCGAGAGTGGGGAAACATCGAGAGTGGGGAAACAGCAAGAGTGGGGAAACAGCGAGTGTGGGGAAACATCGAGAGTGGGGAAACAGCGAGAGTGGGGAAACAGCGAGAGTGGGGAAACGGCGAGAGTGGGGAAACAGCGAGAGTGGGGAAACAGCGAGTGTGGGGAAACAGCGAGAGTGGGGAAACGTAAAGGTAAGCCAAAGCGATGCTACAGGCATCTCTATGGCTTCCCTGCTGCCGCAACCACGAGAAACTGGTGGCGCAACACGGGCGATGTTGGTTGCAGGCAGTGAGGTGGCGCGTGCTCACTTGGATGTGGGGCGATGAGCATGGCGGAGTTGACGGACGATGGCACGACACTGGCACATGGTGGGAACATGGAGGATGGGCACGAGGGGTTGAGGGGAGAAGAAGGGATGAGAGGCAAAGGAGGGGTAGGAGAAGGGAGGGTGGGAATGGAAGGTAGGGAGCATCATTGAAGGAGGGGATGAGGGCGAGGGATGGGGGAAGAGAGGAGGAGCGAGAAAAAGAGCATGTGGATAGCATGTGAAAAAGAGCATGTGGATAGCATGTGGATAGCATGTGAAAAAGAGCACGTGGATAGCATGTGGATAGCATGTGAAAAAGAGCATGTGGATAGCATGTGAAAAAAAGCATGTGGATAGCATGTGAAAAAGAGCATGTGGATAGCATGTGAAAAAGAGCATGTGGATAGCAAGCTGACGGTTGAGGCGGGCAGGCATGGCAGTGGCCGGCACAGAGGTAGAGGTGTAAGGCATGGGGGGTGAATGATGGCACGACAGGACATGCTCTCATCCATATCCTCTGCAACAGGCACTGATTCACATGCCTGCCGTGAACAACGTACCCTGCAATCCAAGAAAGCCATGGCCGCACTCCTCCTCAGCCCTGCCATCTCCACCATCAGCGCCAAGCCCTGCTGCTGCAACCACTTTCCACATCGCGCTGGTGATACACCCACCCACTACAGCAGAAACACGAGGGCGGAGCTTGCAAAGTATGCGAGGCCCACCTGTAGGAGGAGAGAAGGAAATGGCATCAGAGAATGGCATGGCATGAGCACGAAAGTTGACAACCTCAATGGCCCATGCTGATGCTGCCCGCCTGGCGCCCACAGGCGAGGCAAGAGTGGGAGTGACGCCTGGAACATCTCACACCTTCTCGCTCTGGCGCCTCTCTTGCAAGAAGCAGACCGCTAACCTAATTGCAATCCTTCTCTTGTCACCCATTGCAGTGCAGGGTAATGCAGGGCAATGCAATGCGGGCCTTGTGACCATACCAGTGGCTCACCAGAGGGGGCAGAAGACGCCGAGGCGTTTCAGGAGCAGTGGCGGGGGGAAGGGAGGCCGGAAGCATGGCATGAGCGGGCATCCCTTGAGCATTCAGCTGAGCAAGGCACGTGGCATCATGACACGTGGCATCATTACACATGGCATCAGGGCACGTTATAGCTCCAATGGGCTGGGAAACAACACACACGTGGATGCATGCATGCAGGGTATCACATACATGATACAATGACACGTGTCACAGGCATAGGCTATTTTCACAACGGGATGCACTACTGGGCGATTAAGGCTTGCTGAGAAACACGATCAACATGCGCACACAAGAAAATACGGTTCTCAAACTGGCTCATGTGATCAGCAGAGCACTCACGGGCGACAGGACTTCTGACCACCATAGGTGTGTACCTGCCCCGTGTGCTTGCAGCTGCTGTGCCATGCGCCGGGTGTGCGCCGCAAGAGCAGAGAAGCAATCCCAAGGGCGCCCGCCACAGCCACCAGCACCGCGATTACCATCGCAGCCACTGCAGCCATCCGCGCCATCGCGCTGCGGGGAGGCGTTCAAAGAGCCCGTTAGCTGCGGGGAGGCGTTCAAAGAGCCCGTTAGTTGCGGGGAGGCGTTCAAAGAGCCCGTTAGTTGCGGGGAGGCGTTCAAAGAGCCCGTTAGTTGCGGGGAGGCGTTCAAAGAGCCCGTTAGTTGCGGGGAGGCGTTCAAAGAGCCCGTTAGTTGCGGGGAGGCGTTCAAAGAGCCCGTTAGTTGCGGGGAGGCGTTCAAAGAGCCCGTTAGTTGCGGGGAGGCGTTCAAAGAGCCCGTTAGTTGTTGGGAGGGGAGTCTGTGAGGGAGCTCGTGTCTTGCAGGGAGCAGCAGGGAGGACCCGCAGCAGCAGCGGCCGTGGTGGTACTACTAGTAGGGGGGAGGAGGAAGGGCGGGAAGGCAGCGAGTGGGGCGGGTGGGTTAAGGAAGGAAAGAAATCGGCAGGCAACAGCACAGGAGGAGAGGCAGAGTTTGGGGGAGAGGATAGACCTGGAGGGGCGAGGATAGACCTGGAGGGGCGAGGATAGACCTGGAGGGGAGAGGATAGACCTGGAGGGGCGGGGTACGGGTTTGCGAAAGGAGCAGCAAGGGCAGGTGGTTGGAAAGAGCAGCTCAGAGCCCAGAGCGGACTTGCGACACAGAGAAAGACGTCGTTCAGCAGGTCTGGCACCGTTCAGAGACGTCGCTCACTCCGCGCCGATTTACAGGCTCGCTGCCTGCTCCGCGCGTGCCAGGGCCACGCTGCTGATGTCGTCACGCCGTTCGCTGCCACGCCGCATGCGGACAGAGCGACCAACGCTCCGACCCGACCGATCATGGCCGTTCATAATCTCACAATGACGTGTCGTGTGCAGCAGACGGACGAGACGGCTAGCTGCCCACGCGACAACGACGGGACTTTGAGAGAACGGCATGTAGCGACTGATGACCCGTCCAAACATGCGCTCGGAGCATCGACGGCAGTGAGGGGGGGGCAGCGCAATGCAACCCGCCTCGGGAATGACGCCCGCGAGTGCGGTGAGGTGGGAGGGCTGGGCGTGGTGAGGCCGTGGCAGTCTACAGTGCATTTAGAGTTAGGGTTTACTAGTGCTATGACTATTTGTACCATAGCTAAGTGCTTAGCTTACGTGCAGAACAGCTTACGTACAAAACAGCTCATTAGAGAGGATATACCATACAGCTTACGGCATCTGCAAAATCTTGACTTTGCAAAATCTGCAAAACAGCTCATATAACTTCACACTAATGCAATAATAATATATGCAACTGTATGCCCAACTGCCACAAGTGTAATAACATTTAATCACATCAAATCCTTCCACCGTATCTGCCTCCCAGCGTGCCCTCCTTCCCCTCGGTGCGCATGCGCGTGTACGTGGCGTCGAACCACGCCATGACAGCTGTCACGTTGGCCACGATGGCACGGCGGCGGTACATGAAGCGGCATGACGCGTTCTTGCGCGGGCATTCGGGGCCCATGAGCTCAAACACCTTGTCGTGCTCCACCCTCACCCACCTGCTCGTGCATTGCCGCACACGCCACACGTGCCGTGTGGCAAGGAGGGTTGAGGGTGGCAGAGGGTGACATGGAGTGGAAGGAGCGGGGATGAGGAACGTGCTTGTACAGGGCACGGCTGTGCTTGCAAGGGAGGGGAATGTGCTTGCAAGGGAGGGGAATGTGCTTGCAAGGGGTGGGGAGGGCACACGTGGATTGGGTCCAATGCGGCAGCGGCAGCGGCAGCGGCGGCAGCAGCAGCGGCGGCAGCAGCAGCGGCGGCAGCAGCAGCGGCAGCAGCCCTAACCTGCTAGCCTCCTGGTACACCCTGAGCATATTCTTAAGGGGGGATACTCTGGAATGCCGAAGGGCATGAAGTCCAGTCCCCGGTGCAGGCAGCGCACACAGCAGGTACACCACAGCAGGTACACCACAGCAGGTACACCACAGCAGGTACACCACAGCAGGTACACCACAGCAGGTACACCACAGCAGGTACACCACAGCAGGTACACCACAGCAGGTACACCACAGCAGGTACACCACAGCAGGTACACCACAGCAGGTACACCACAGCAGGTACACCACAGCAGGTACACCACAGCAGGTACACCACAGCAGGTACACCACAGCAGGTACACCACAGCAGGTACACCACAGCAGGTACACCACAGCAGGTACACCACAGCAGGTACACCACAGCAGGTACACCACAGCAGGTACACCACAGCAGGTACACCACAGCAGGTACACCACAGCAGGTACACCACAGCAGGTACACCACAGCAGGTACACCACAGCAGCATGGCCCCTCAGCCCATGCATGTGCCGCTCACCTGGAAGCCTCCTCATAGAGACGCAGCACACGCAGGCCGTCTTCGGAAATGCCAAAGGGCACGAGCTCCAACATCGCACTGCCCGGGCACATTCCCCCACCCATGCATTCCCCCACCCATGCATTCCCCCATCCATGCATTCCCCCACCCATGCATTCCCCCACCCATGCATTCCCCCACCCATGCATTCCCCCACCCATGCATTCCCCCACCCATGCATTCCCCCACCCATGCACGCACCCACCCATGCACGCACCCACCCATGCACGCACCCACCCATGCACGCACCCACCCATGCACGCACCCACCCATGCATGCGCCCACCCATGCACGCGCCTCTCGCCTCTCACATGGAAGCTTCCTCGTAGACTCTGAGCACACGCGGGTCGTACTCGGGGATGCCAAAGGGCACGAGCTCCAACACACATGGCCCCTGAGGTCCCACCCAGCACACATGGCTCCTGAGGTCCCACCCAGCACACATGGCCCCTGAGGTCCCACCCAGCACACATGGCTCCTGAGGTCCCACCCAGCACACATGGCCCCTGAGGTCCCACCCAGCACACATGGCCCCTGAGGTCCCACCCAGCACACATGGCCCCTGAGGTCCCACCCAGCACACATGGCTCCTGAGGTCCCACCCAGCACACATGGCCCCTGAGGTCCCACCCAGCACACATGGCCCCTGAGGTCCCACCCAGCACACATGGCTCCTGAGGTCCCACCCAGCACACATGGCCCCTGAGGTCCCACCCAGCACACATGGCTCCTGAGGTCCCACCCAGCACACATGGCCCCTGAGGTCCCACCCAGCACACATGGCCCCTGAGGTCCCACCCAGCACACATGGCCCCTGAGGTCCCACCCAGCACACATGGCCCCTGAGGTCCCACCCAGCACACATGGCCCCTGAGGTCCCACCCAGCACACATGGCCCCTGAGGTCCCACCCAGCACACATGGCCCCTGAGGTCCCACCCAGCACACATGGCCCCTGAGGTCCCACCCAGCACACATGGCCCCTGAGGTCCCACCCAGCACACATGGCCCCTGAGGTCCCACCCAGCACACATGGCCCCTGAGGTCCCACCCAGCACACATGGCTCCTGAGGTCCCACCCAGCACACATGGCCCCTGAGGTCCCACCCAGCACACATGGCCCCTGAGGTCCCACCCAGCACACATGGCCCCTGAGGTCCCACCCAGCACACATGGCCCCTGAGGTCCCACCCAGCACACATGGCTCCTGAGGTCCCACCCAGCACACATGGCCCCTGAGGTCCCACCCAGCACACATGGCCCCTGAGGTCCCACCCAGCACACATGGCCCCTGAGGTCCCACCCAGCACACATGGCCCCTGAGGTCCCACCCAGCACACATGGCCCCTGAGGTCCCACCCAGCACACATGGCTCCTGAGGTCCCACCCAGCACACATGGCCCCTGAGGTCCCACCCAGCACACATGGCCCCTGAGGTCCCACCCAGCACACATGGCCCCTGAGGTCCCACCCAGCACACATGGCTCCTAAGCCAACACATGAGGATCTCACCTAGAAGCTTCCTCATAGACTCTGAGCACGCGTGGGTCATACTCAGGGATGCCGAAGGGCACTAGCTCCAGCACGGCACTGCCGGGGCGCATCCACATGACATGGTTCATGGTGCCGTCTCCACTCACTGTCACCAGCATGGACGCCGCTCCCATGAATAGCACCTGTGGGGTTGAGGGGTGGGGAGGCACAGAGGGAGAGGAGAAAGGGCGGAAGGGGAGTGTGTGTGCGGAGACATTTACATGACGTTTTGCACGGTGCCGTTGCCACTCACTGTCACCAGCATGGACGCCGCTGCCATGAATAGCACCTATGGGGAGAGCAAGGAGGGGGTGGGAGAAGGGAGATGAGGATTTGTAGTGAGAGTGCGGAGGCATCCACATGACATGGCTCACGGTGCCGTCGCGCACTGTCACTAGCACTGACGCCGCTCCCATGCAAAGCACTTGCAGGGCAGCACAAGGAGGGGGGCGAAGAGGGTCAAGGGAGGGGATGGCAGGGTGGGAGAGGGAGAGGAGGGTGAGGAGTGAGGCTAAGCCTAAACCCCGAACCCCTGCACTCCCCCATGTCAAACTATATGCTACAGATATTGTAGGCTAGGCTAGGTTGGGTTATGTCAGGTTACTTCTTAGAGAGTACAACACTTCATAATTAATTACTCTGATGCCCTGTTGCTAGTCATTTACATTCCGTTCAGTTCATTTCTTGACATGGTATCAGAGCTAGGTTACAACCGTTCGATTCCGCCGCGCCTACATAGCCTCTTCGCCTACCCTAGTGCGCCAGACTGTTGCCCCTAGCGCGCCTGTCGCCCTTAGCTCAAGGCTCAACTAGGCTGCCCCGTCGCGCCTTAGGGCGTATCACAGTTTGGTGTCAAGGCAACTGTTCAGCATTGACTTGGTGTCATGCGCATTTTCCGCTCCCAAAAACACAGGGGGCCGGAAAATGCGCATGACACCAAGTCAACGTGAGGGCCCCCGAGGGCCCCTCCTGTTGCTTCTACGGTGGCCCCCGCGGACCCCACTCGTACGCGCCCTAGTACGCCCCCCCCTCTTCTGCAGGACACTCTTGCGCTGCCCTAGGTCGCTAGCGCGCAGGCACGCAGCGCCCGTCGCTTACCCATCCCGCTGCCTGTAGTGCGCACCGTCGCCTGCCCGACGCCTGCCTCGCGCAGCCCATGGCGTGCCCGAATGGTCCATACGCAGAGTTGGTGGGTTGTCTCGTGTACTTGATGACCTGCACTCGCCCAGACCTCGTTTTCTCTCCCAGCGTCCTGTCTCGCTTTGTTGCGTCTGGGAGACAACGACCTGCTCACTTGTTGGCTGTTAGTGCGGTAGCGAAGTAGTTGGCGAATACATCAGGTATAGGATTTTTGCACAAAAAAAAAAAAAAAAAAGGCTGCCGCCCGGGCTAGTCTGCCGCTCGTGCCGCCCGTGCTAGATTGCCGCTCGTGCCGCCCTTAATAGCTTGCCACCCATGCCGCCCCTACTGGACTGCCGCCCATACCGTCCTGAGTCATATCACATGCAGTGTTGTTTTTGATGACTGGTCTTGTGACTGCTTGCCTCAGAAAGTTGGACTAGTAGTGTCGCCCTGAGTTGTTGTTTCTCTTACTCTTCTTTATGCCTCTTACCTAGCCCATGGGGGTGTGTCAAATTATATGCTACATATATTGTAGGCTAAGTTAGGTTGGGTTATGTCAGGTTACCAGGGGACAACACTTATATTTATCTACCCTATATGCCCTGTTGTAGTCATCCTCATTCTGTTCAGTTCATCTCTCAACACCAACACCTACCCCACGTCCTCGTCTCACCTGTGCACAAGATTTTGAAAAGTTGGCCTCCCTGACAGCCACCAGCTCGAATGTAGTGGCCTTGTAATAGCGGTCCCTCAGCCCTTTAAGCTTCTTAACCCCCTTCACACCATTCAACCCCTTGAGGCCCATGAGCCCCCACCCACCACCCCCTACACACCTACCTTCCCTTCCTCATATCGACTCACCTGCGCACAGAAGTTGGTGAAGTTAGCCTCCCTCACTGCCACCAGCTCGCACGCAGTGGCCTTGTGACAGCGGTCCCTCAGCCCCTTGAGCACAGCCTGTAGGTTCTCCATCATGCCGTACCCCCCACTGTCCGCATCGCCATACAGCACCAGCACACGGATCGTGTGGGCGTCGGAACTCACAAACCCCCGCAGCCCTGGCGGCACCCCCGCCATCGGATGCTGCTGGGTCGCCCCCGCCCCTGCCCCTGCCCCTGCTGTGCTGTTCCCAGCGGCAGCAGCAGCGTCGGTAGCAGAGGGAGAAGGGATGGAGGAGGCGGCGAGGGAGCAGTAGGCCCAGGCGCGCTCCTGCACGTCCTGCAGCACGATGCTCCTCTCCTGTGCTGCCGGCCGGTACCGCCGCGTCATCACCCCACGCTCAAAGCACACGGGGCGCGTGCCGTTGCGCACGCGGAACGGCGCGATGTGCGCCCCAAGAATGGCCTTGAACAGCAGGCGCGACCAGGGCGACAGGCGCATGTCGAGCCCGCCGCGGCGGTAGAAGAAGGCACGAGCGGGGCGCATGAAGGAGTAGTCGGGGTAGGGGTAGAAGAGGTTGGCGAGGATGTTGGGTGTGTGGAAGCGGTCGTCAAAGCCGTAGCGCGAGTGCAGCAGCAGCGACGTGCCCAACAGCATGAGCGCGGACGGTGGGATGGAATCGAAGGTGGCGATGGCGAACGAGTTGTTGCACGCGCCCCCGGAGAAACAAAGCGGTGTGGAGAGGTTCCCCTGGATGCAGAGGATCTGCTTGGGGTGCTGAGGCGAGGGGAAGACGTGCACCTCTGGCATGTTCGTCACCTGGGGAAGAAGGGGGTGAGGGGGGTGAGAGAGGGGGAGGAGAGGGGCACGAAGGAAGCATTGGAGGTGAAGAGAGAAGCAGCAGCGGGTGAATATGGCATGTGGGTGAGTGTGGTGTGGCGCAAGGGAGAGGGAACGACGAGATGTGAAACCAGAGGAAAGGAGGTTGTGCCACAGGTGAGACAGACTGACAAGGGGGCAAGAGGTGGGTGTGGAGCAGCGATGCATTGAGGGGAGGAAGTCAAGGGAGGGAGCAGGAAAAGAGAGCTGCCTGCCAGCCACTGGGTGGTGGAGTAGGTTGCAGATTCTGAAGTGCAAAGCATTAAGTTACCCGTCTGAGAGAGAAAGGGCATGAATCCGAAGTTACCGTCTGAGAGAGGGCATGAATTCGAAGTTACCCGTCTGAGAGAGGGCATGAATCAGAAGTTACCCGTCTGAGAGAGGGCACGAAACAGACGTTACCCGTCTGAGAGAGGGCATGAATCAGAAGTTATCCGTCTGAGAGAGGGCATGAAACAGACGTTTCCCGTCTGAGAGAGGGCATGAATCAGAAGTTACCCGTCTGAGAGAGGGCATGAAGCGGAAGTTCTCATCGCTGGACGACATTTTGGTGGCGTCAAACAGCGCCTCCCACTGCAGCCCCCCGTCCTTCTCCCCCTCCCCTCCCCCTGCGCCCCCACCCCCTCCCCCTCCCCCACCCCCACCCCCGGCCTTGTTGAACTGCATCTTGGTGAAGGTGTCCTGCTCCAGGTGGAACTTGGCAAGAGTGGAGTTGCGCAGCGGCATGTCGCCAAAGAAGGCCTCGAGATCATTCAGGCACGCCGACCCCACGCGCGTGTGGTCCTCGAACGACGACGCGAGGTCCTCCGTGACGCGCTTGTCGGGGTCCACGACGAGTAAGGGTGCCGCGTCCGTGAGCTCGGAGGCCAGGAAGTTGAGAGCCGCGTCGGCGCACTGCGGGGACATCTCGATGTAGTCGCGCACTTGCTGGCGTGACGAGTGCATAGAGGGGGGGGGAAGGGAGGGTACGTGGAAAGGGTCGTTTTGGTTGAGCAAGAAAGCCTGGTGAGGAAGTTGAAGGATGCGTGGGCGCACTGCGGTGACATCTCCATGTGGTCCCGCACTGCCTGGCGTGTGAGGGGGCAGGGGAAGCTTGTGGGGGGAAGAGCGGCAGAGGTGAGGGTGCAGGCACAGGGCGCACTGAGGGGGCATCTGGATGTAGTGACGCAGTGACTGCCGTGTCATGGCAGCAGAAGGGGGGAGTGGAAGACCCAGGGGAGGGGGGAGTGGAAGACCCAGGGGAGGGGGGAGTGGAAGACCCAGGGGAGGGGGGAGTGGAAGACCCAGGGGAGGGGGGAGTGGAAGACCCAGGGGAGGGGGGAGGAAAGGGGGGCAACGGCAAACAACCCCCCCTCTCTTCCCTTCCACGCACCTACCTTCTCCCTCCCTTCCTCTCTCACACCCCCGGTCCCTCGCTCCCCTTCCTCCCCCACACAGTAAGTGCCCCAAATCCAGCCCATCATAGAGCACCAAAGTGCTCGAGGCGGACTCCACTCCTTCCATTCACAACTCATTCCACCCTGGGGCCTGCCGCAAAGACTTGAACCCATCACAACCACCCTGGAACCCCCTCCTCCCTACCTGGGGCAGCGTGCACGTGTAACCTTCATGCTAGCTGCCCCCACCCCCCTCTTCCCCCCAAACCTTCCATCCCCATCCCCTTCCCTGTTACCTGGGGCAGCGTGCAAGTGTACGACTGCAGGTAGTCCGCATGCAGCAACAACAGCCGCGCCCCCCCCATCGAATACTCATCTCGAGCTTTATGCGGCACCCCAACCACCCCTCCCCCCTCCCTCTCTCAACCCCCCCTCACTCAACCCTCCCCTCTCCACACTCCTCCCACCCCCCTAACCTGGGGCAGCGTGCACGTGTCATGTACGACTGAAAATAGTCTGCATGCAGCAGCAATAACTGTAGTCTCGATGCAGCAGCACCATCGAATACTCCTGCGGTCAATGAGGCAACCCACCTCCCCCCCCCCCCCCCCGTCCTCTCTCCCCACCCACCTCCCTCTTTACTCCCACCTCCCTCTCCCCCCACTCCTCCTACCCCCATCGCGGTCTCACCTGAGGCAGCGTGCAGGTGTACGACTGCAGGTAGTCGGCGTGCAGCAGCAGCAGCCTTGCGCCCACCATGGAGTACTCCTCGCGGGGGTCCGCCACGAACACCAGCTCGCTCGTGTGCGGGTCGCGGTAGTGCGCGGACGGGAAGAACCCCACCAGGCGCTGCGGCTGCTCCTGCCAGAACTTGAACGCGGACGACAGCACGGACGCGCCCACCATCACCGAGTCGTCGCACATCAGCACGCAGTCCGTCGGGAGGGACGCGATGGGGCGCATGCGCGCCGACATGGAGTAGCGGCGCAGCGGCGGGAGCAGCTCGACAGGCTTGCTGGCGTTCCACGACTCGATGGCCGCCGCTAGGATGCTCTGCGTGTGCCCCTGCGCCCACGCGCTGCCACCACTGCTGCTGCTCCCTGTGTTCCCTCCGCTGCTGCCACCAAGGTTGAATCCTCCTGAGGACTCCCCCCCAACACCACCACCACCAGCAGCAGCACTCCCCCCTCCCACAGCCTCGCTGGGTTTGGCCATAACGTAGATCATGTGCACGAAGCGCATGGCGGCGAAGTGGAATATGAGCGTCTGCAGCGTCGTCAGGTCCCCGCCCGTGAGGATCACCACCGACAGCTTTCTCGGCACGGGCGCCCCGCGCGCATACTGCATGAAGTCCGTCTGGCACAGCGGGCTGGGCAGCGCGTCCGCCGGTGCAATGACGCCGTGCTGCACGAGCAGCCCCGACATGTCGCGGAGCAGCTCCCACCTGAGATGATCATACCGCCGTGTGGGCGGGTACAGCTTGTCCGTGAGCTCGTCCCAGCGCTCGAAGCCGCCAGCGAAGCGCACGACCTTGAGCTTGGGGTGCACCCATTCGTTCCACGTGGCGGAGTACCCCAGGCGCGACGGCGCGTTGCACCCGTAGTCCAGGTGGTGCTTCGCGCCCAGCTGCGGCCAGTCGGAGAAGAAGTGGTTGAAGAAGATCAGGTCCTCCGACCCCACTGGGAGGACCGGCCCCCGCCGCAGCCGCCGCTGCAACCCCCACTGCTGCTGCTGCTGCTGAGGCTGCCCCTCCTGCCGCCCCTCCTGCTGCGTCTGCGCCTGGTCGGGGTCTCCTGCTGCGAGGGTGCGTCTCGCGCTGTCACTGTCGCTGTCCACGTCGCCGAATGCGATGGCGGCGTATTCCGCGACGAGCTGGCGGTACGTCGCCACGCTCGGCTCCAGCACCAGCAGGCTCGGGTTGAACCGGTCCGGCAGGGAGTTGTCCGGAGCTGCGGTAGGCTCGGGCCGAGCCAGCACGTCGTCAATGTTCTCAAGGACGAGCATGCGCGGGTCGAGGTAGACAACTTTAGAGTATTGGCGCAGCAGCCACATGGAGAATTTGAACGGCAGGCACTCCGCGAGCGCCGCGGGGTGCGGCGGCGGGGAGTAGACGGAGCTGAAGGAAAAGGGGTCCGCGAAGGTCGTTGGGGGGAAGGGCGGAGAGAACTCCGCCGCGGGGTTCGCGGAAAAGGGGTTTTCCGCGGAGTCCGCGGCGGCGCGCGCGAAGGATTGGTTGAGGTAGGGAGAGGCGGAAGTGGTGGGGCGGAAGGGGTCGTCGAGCAGCGCGAGCACGGACGCGGGGACGCCGCGCGGAAGCGGGTTGACGGTGGCGCCGAGCGCGCGGAAGATGTGGCGCGGCGTGCCGGAGAGGTTGCGCGCGAGCACGACGATATCGTGCTCCGTCTTGGTGGATCGGATCGAGTGCACGAGCACCATGGCGGACTTTAACTGCGACTCGTCGCACACCACCACTACGTACGCCGCGGGACCTGTTAGTTTCCCGCCGCCGCCGCCGGCGCTGCTCCCGCCGGTGAATCCGCTTCCGGAGTTTCCGCCGAGACGGGAGGTCGCGCCGGCGTTTGCGGCGGAGTTTGCGGCGCGGGAGTCGGCGGAGTGCCAGGGGCGCGCGGTGACGAACCAGAGCGTGAGGAGGAAGGCGAAGAAGCCGAAGAACTGCTGAAACGCCGTCCACAGCCGCGCGTACCGGAACGACTGCTGCAGCGACGCCGCCAGCAGGTCCGGAGACGACCCGTACCGCGCCGCCGCCGCCGGGCGCGACACGACGTGGCTCCGCGCGATCGCCATTGGCCGCTACGCGCGCGGCGGGGGGTTCAGTTGAAATGGAAGCGGCGCGTCAGGGTAAGGACAGGCGCGAGTGACTTGTACTAGTGTCTCTAGTAGCGAGGAGTGATTACGGCGGTGGGTGTCGTGCCACGGCGGCAATCATGATCGAATTGGAGATTGCCGCATGAAGGTGTCGACTTAGTTTGCGAAGCAGCGGGCGCGCGATAAAGAGCGATTGAGAACCATACTGTTGCTTCACGGAGCCTCGAATACTAACTAGTACATATCATACATAGCTAGCTAGAGAAGAGAAACTAGATTCTGATCATCAATGTCGAGTGCTAAACCTACCTCCACTCGAGCATCTGTTAGGGCGCGTGTGGTCTTACAAATTTGTGAAAGTTTATGTTTTTAGATCGAATGTAGCATTTGAACAAAACTCGACTTTCTTTCCAGCGAAGTTCGAATCTTGGGTCTCCAACACAGACGAGTCACAATCACACACCCAAGGTCGAACACAGAGATTCGACCTTTTAGGGATGGCGGCGAGCCGCCCGTAGGGGAGTAGGTTACCTGGTACAGCGCGACACGTTAACGCAATGCCCAACGAAGCTCAACGATCTTCGCAAAGCGGTCGCGATTTTCGGATGGCCTTCGTACGTGCTGAAAACAGCACACACTCGCCTCACGTGCACCCGCACGTTCACTCGTGTGATACGAGTTGAGTTCACATTTGACATTCGAACTTATGTGCCCCAAAATTCTCATGCCTTCGCCAAAGCTTCCTGACGACATTAGCGAATTTGGTAACCACACAAAGTTCGACCTTTTTTCCGAACTTGAAAATAGATCACACGGGCCCTTTGCTCCCAACTTGCAACTCTGGATGTTGCATCCCGCTCCCAGCAGTTCGACAAGCTAGAACCCTTGACAATATCATTACGGATATAGTGTTTGACACGAGTTTGCTTTCTAGCACAGCAACAGTGCCCTGCAACCCAAATTATAACAAAGCGGCAGTACTGTGTCAATAAGAAAAATAACTCAATAATCGGCTACTAAGAAGCACTTGATATCAAGAAAAGGGGAAATTGGGAAAGACCCGGAAAGGTACATTACTACCAGGCAGCTTCAGGGGCGGAATATCGTGAGCACGACAGGAGGGAACGACAGCCGGGTGGAATGGGCGGACACTACTTGGTGGCAAGCGATGTGGTGGGCACGGACGGACCGGTCCAGAAGTGGATGGGATGGCACGGGAGCTACATGTTGAGCCAAACGGTGGTGCTGTGCTGTGGTTGAGGAGAGTTGAATGCGATGGCACGGCGGCAGCTACTTGTTGAGCCAGTAGACGAGGAGGAAGAGTGTGCAGGCGGCGATGACGGCAGCAAGAATGAGCGAGTCCCGTGACTTCTTCCTCCTGATGGCCGATAGAAGCGTGTTCAGCTGTACAGGGAGAGGGGAGAGGGGAGGAGGGGTGGAGGGGTGGAGGGAAGGAGGGTGGAGACAAAAGCAGAAGAGCATGTGGATGAGCTTATGGTGGTGCAGCACCAGTTGGTGATTGTGGTGCAGCACCAGTTGGTGATTGTGGTGCAGCACCAGTTGGTGATTGTGGTGCAGCACCAGTTGGTGATTGAGGTGTTGAGCATGGTGGGGTTGAGGCAGCATGGGAGATGGGAGGCATACTGTGAGAAAGAATGGGGAGGAAGCAGCCTATGTCATTCATGTGAGCTGCTATGGCACACAGAGGCAAAAGAGACAAGGAGAGTGACGCACAAAGGGAAAGGGAGCAGGAAGAGAGCAGCAGGACAGGCATGATAACAGCAGGGTAGGCATGACAGCAGCAGGGTCGGCATGACAGCAGCAGGGTAGGCATGACAGCAGCAGGGTAGGCATGGCAGCAGCAGGGTAGGCATGGCAGCAGCAGGGTAGGCATGGCAGCAGCAGGGTAGGCATGACACTTCACTAGAAGCATGTGGGAGAGAGGCATCAACACAGGAACCTACCCCTGGAATTCGGTTGCCCAGGAGTGTGACTTTAGAGAATGTGCCTCCAAGGAGCGAGCGCTGCTGTGCCAGAGATGATGACGTGGCGTATGCTTGCTTGATGACGTCATCAGCCTGACGGGAGCAGGGAAACGGGTGGCAGCAAATAGCACAGACGAAGCGATTGGGCAAATGCCGAGTTAGCATGTGTGAAAGATGGCATGCGCTGTGTTGGAACGCGCTGTGTTGGAACGCGCTGTGTTGGAACGCGCTGTGTTGGAACGCGCTGTGTTGGAACGCGCTGTGTTGGAACGCGCTGAATAGGTATGCGCCAACAACGAGTAAACATGCACTGTATACAAGATGTAGAATGCATGTAGCATGCATGTATGCAGTGAGTGAGGGGGGAGTCGTGCAGAGAACAAGAAGTGAGGGCGCAGGTGGGGAAGAGAGGTAGTTCACACCTGAGAGAGTGCGGAGTGGATGGAGGTGCGCTCATTGAGCAGTCTGGCCGTTTCAGACAGCACCTCCGCGCCCGCACTGCTGCCCGCGCCGCCACCCTCCCTGCCACCCGCCTTGCCGAACACTCCCAGCAGCTGCGCTCGCTCCAGGTTGGTGGTCACTGCTGCCCGCGTGCGGGCGAACTCCTGCCAGCACAGTCGAATGCGAGGCGTCAGAGATGCAAAGGCGTGAAGAAGAGACCAGAGAAGCCGCTATTTAACATGTGGGGAAGGGTTGAGAGTGGTTGGTTGTGAATCACACACACTCACACATGTGCGTCCTCACACCCCCCCACTGGCACGCACTCCAAGCCTGCCTCGAGAATTTCCAAAACATGCTACCGTGGGGAGTGAGTGTGTGAGCGGGTGCATGTGTGCGCCTGCAGATGCAAGTTGCTGTCCATACACGCATCCACCCACACACACTGGAACCGAAACATGTCCAAACACGCACACACACTGGAACCGAAACATGTCCAAACACGCACACACACTGGAACCGAAACATGTCCAAACACGCACACACACTGGAACCGAAACATGTCCAAACACGCACACACACTGGAACCGAAACATGTCCAAACACGCACACACACTCCCACGAGTGCCATACTCTCACTCTCACCCACCCTTGCAAACCCCGCAAAGATGCTGTTGTGGCAATTGAGAGTGCGTCTGCAGCTCCCAGCTGCTCACCCAAACTACAGACGCCAGCCCACTCACGAACACTCTCACTCACACAGTCACACACACTCTCACCCACAATCACACACACACCCAAACTTTACTCACACACACAAGGCCGCACTCTCCCACCCACCCTAGAGAACTCCAGCAGAATGTTGTTGTGGCGGGTGAGAGTGTGCGCCTGCAGCTCTGAGCTGCCTCCTCCCGCCCCGCCCGCAGCAGCACATGCGCCCATGGCGTCGTTCAGCGACGCCAGCTGCTGCAGCAGCGCCTCTATCTCGCCCTCTCGGATCTGGATGGGATTTTAAAGGGGTGGCGAGGGATGCAGTGCGGTGGGTGGGACTCCCAAAGCGCCCGTGGCATCGTTCAGCGACGCCAGCTGCTGCAGCAGCGCCTCTATCTCGCCCTCTCGGATCTGGATGGGATTTTAAAGGGGTGGCGAGGGATGCAGTGCGGTGGGTGGGACTCCCAAAGCGCCCGTGGCATCGTTCAGCGACGCCAGCTGCTGCAGCAGCGCCTCTATCTCGCCCTCTCGGATCTGACCACAGGCAAGCATGAAAGGGAGAGAGGAGGGTGGGATGGGGGGGAGGCGGGCAGCAGGCAGGAGACACTTCTTATCTGGCACGCTCTACTCTGTCTCGCCCTCGCGGATCTGATGATGAACAACGGAAGGAGGGGAAGAGAGGAGGGAAGGAGGGGAAGAGAGGAGGGCAGGGGGGGATTTGCAGTGGGTTGGACAGACAAACGTGCGCCCATGGTGTCGTTAAGAGAAGCCAGCTGCTGCAGCAGCACCTCTATCTCGCCCTCTCGGATCTGATGATAGGGGGAAAAGGTTTTCAAAGTGGTGGGAAGGGATGCAGTGGGGTGGGTGGGATTCCTGATCCGCCCATGGCATCGTTGAGCGATGCAAGCTGCTGCAGAGGCGCCTCTCTCTCGCTCTTGCGAAGGGGGGGGAGGAGAGGGGAGGGGGACAACGCATTGGCATGGAGAGAGACGAGGGGAGGAGGGAGGAGTGGGGGGAAAGTTGGGAGGATAGGGGAGAGTAGAGGGGGGAGAGCGGGAGGAGAGGAGGAGGCGACGGCGGAGGCGAAGGGAAAGTTGGAGCCTCAGCGGAGGGCGACGGGTGTGCTGGGCAGGAATTGGGAAGTAAAGCAGCAGAGGCGGAGGAGGAGCGGGCGAGAGAGGGCAGGGCAGCAGAGAAGCACGGAGACCCGCTTGGGCCTCTGGGAAAGGGATCAGAGAAGCAGAGGGGCGGAGTGGGGGAGCAGCAAGGTGTGGCGGAAGTACACTCAAGGGCGCCAACCCACCTGCGCCTCGGAGGGGTCGGGCAGCGAGCCAGCAGCGGTGGAGGAGGAGGCGAGCGCGAAGGCGGCGCCGAGCTTGGAGTAGGCGGCTAGGCGGTGGTCCACCTCGCTCTCCACTCGCCGCGCCTGCAGGGGGGGCGGTAGGGTGGGAGGGGGGGAGGTTGGGGAGGTGAGGGAGCGGGGGAAGCGCCAGTCAAGGCTGGTAGGGGGTGATTCACTTCGCTCTCCACCCGCTGCCACTGCAGTGTGGCGGGGGAGGTGGGGGGAGGTGCGAGTGCGCGCATGTCAACCCACCACGTGTCAGCAATTCCATGGTTGGATCCTGTATCAACGTGCATTACCTAAAAAGGGGGAACGGCAACGGCTGCTACCGAGTAATGTGTGCGACAGCGCGACCGTGCGACCGTGCTACCGGCGTGCGACTGTGCAACCGCGCGACTCACATCTTTCCGCAGATCCTCCCATCGCCTTCCCCCCGCCACGAATCCGCTGCTCACGCCTCCTCCTAACCCGCTCAGAGATCCCCCGCTGCCCGACATCCCGCC